TGAAGGCCAGACTACTTCTGCTTCAAGGTCATAACCATAGGCAATACTGTTAAGGGAGTCCCCCCACCTAGAGCCAAGGAACAACCTTAATGGAAGCCTCCTGTGGCCCCTGGAAATCCTTGTGACCTGGCTCTCTTCTATAAACTGAATCAGTTCTAAAAGTATAGTAATACTCTGTCTGCTCTGGTGTCCAGTTGTGTTCAGGGATCTCCCCACAGTGACGGGTCTATTCCAACCAGCTGTGTTCCTTTGGACCCACAGTATTCATTTCTTCTTAGGTATTGCAGGGGTCCCCTGTTCATTCAGCAGGTTTCTGACCACTACCCTCTAACCCATGTGTGTGGAGAGGCCTCTAGATAACTACAATTGTCAGGTGATACAACAGCTGTTAATTCATAGGCCCTGAGCCACCAAACTGATAATTACTGCACGGTCATACTCCATTCATTTATATCCCTCCCACGTGAATAAGGACCTTATAAATGCATGCATTCCTTCTGCTGTCCCCTACACCAATGGTCCTTCTTCTTCTTCCTCTTCTTCTTCTTCTTCTCCTCCTCCTCCTCCTCCTCCTCCTCCTCTTTCTTCTTCTTCTTCTTCTTCTTCTTCTTCTTCTTCTTCTTCTTCTTCTTCTTCTTCTTCTTCTTCTTCTTTTTAAGATTTTATTTATTTGACAGAGAGAGAGACACATAGCAAGAGAGAGAACACAAGCAGGGGGAGTGGGAGAGGGAGAAGCAGGCTTCCTGCTGAGCAAGGAGCCCAGTGAGGCGCTCGATCCCAGGACCCTGCAATCATGACCTGAGCCTAAGGCAGACACTTAATGACTGGGCCAGCCAGGCGCCCCTACACCAATGGTTCTTAACCTTTGCTGATTCATGGAGCTCTCTGAGAATCTGCTATGAACCTCCCCAGAAAAAGAGTAGACATATGGACTTGAAAACAATTTCACAGACTTCTTGATGCGTAAAGCCCATCCTTCAGACCCCAAGCCAATGCTAACAATTATTGATGGCATGAAATGATGACATTTCTAAAGAGAGGTAGTTAGAAGGGAAGAGCTGCAGCCTAATTCTTCCCACTTGTTTTTCATAGGCATAAAGGCCTGCAAAGGATGTGGGAACACAACTTGGTCAACCTGATCTGTGAGGTCCAGCCAGGTGCTGTCCTCACCTGTCCACCTTGCCAAGGCAGCAGGCTTATAATGACCAACTAAGGCAGCAGCTCCTGTCTGAGACTGACACAGGTCTCTCCCTTGTCCACACCAATACACACCCACCTGAGTCTAGCCCAGACCTTACACAGCTTTCCCTAGCGCCATCCAGGCAAGCCAGGTGACTCTTATGACTACCTTGTCACCTAGGAATAGTGGATGAAAAGGACCTCTATGGGGTCTGCTGCACTACACCTTCTCTACACTTCCTTCTTCTCCCTTCATCTCTCTCTCTCACATGTACACACAGGAACACACACATACTCCAGCCATCACTCAGAAGAACCAGAGTCAGCATCTCGAAGGCTCCCTGTAGCAGAGCTCCCCAAGCATGCCTTCAGGTTGGACTCAGCCAAGTTTAAGGGTGACTGCTACCCAGCCACTGGCCAGATTACATTTTCTGGGTCACTCTGACCTCCTCAAAGGCCAAGTATTGTCGTCTGATATCTCATCTGATACTCAAACCTCTATGCCTCAAAAATAACAACAACAACAATAACAAAACACCCTTGATCTTCCCTTGATCTTGGGCACCTGGGCAGCTCAGTGGGTTAAAGCCTCTGCCTTCGGCTCAGGTCATGATCCCAGGGTCCTGGGATCGAGCCCCGCATCGGGCTCTCTGCTCAGCTGCTCTGCTCAGCTTCCCCCTCTCTCTGTCTCTGCCTACTTGTAATCTCTGTCAAGTAAATAAATAAAATCTTTAAAAAAATAATAACACCCTTGATCTTGATGCAAAACCAAGTGTTTACCACACACACACACACACACACTCAGGGTTGCCACCAGTCTTCCCCAACCTCTGCCAAAAATGATTACATACTTCTAACAAAGATTGACTGTGAATATAAACAAGGGTTTGTGGACCCCAGGGATGGGAAGAGGTCTCCCCGCCCTTCCACAGACTGGGGACTTCTCCCACTCTAGCCTTTCCCAATCATGGGAAAGACAACCAAGGTAGCTTTCTCCTCACCACAAACATGTACCCATCATTCTAACTGAGAGTATGAGCAAGAAAAGCAAAACTCTAAGGTACCAAAAACACCTCTTGATGGGGCGCCTGGGTGGCTCAGTGGGTTAAGCCTCTGCCTGCAGCTCAGGTCATGTTCCCAGGGTCCTGGGATCCAGCCCCACATCGGGCTCTCTGCTCAGTGGAGAGCCTGCTTCCTCCTCTCTCTCTCTGCCTCTTTGCCTACGTGTGATCTCTATCTGTCAAATAAATAAATAAAATCTTAAAACAACACCTCTTGAGATGGACGTCAGAGTCAACTCTTGTTGCCGTGGACTATCAGATGAATTTCCAGTTCTGTGAATAACCAGTCACCAGAGTTTTATTCCAAGACCCAGCCCAATTCTGGCCTCTCACAATGTGCTTTCAAGTAATGCAATGTGATTAAAGTGTTATCAGAACCTGCCTCTCAGCACGTGACTAACTAGACTTGTTATCTTAGGCAGGTCACTTCCTGTCCCTGGGCCTTGGTTTCATCATTCATTCACTCAACAAATATTTATTTGTTTGTTGAGAAGCTCGTAAGTTCCAGGCACTGTGCTAAGTGCTCAAGACAACAAAGATGAGTGAGATACGGTCCAGCCGGCTGTGGTCTCACTCTATTGTTGATGTGTTAATGTCAATGACTCCTTATTTGCTGCATGCTCAGGACAATAATGGAGGTTGGACAAGGTAGGAGAGGAAAGCTGGGAGGGGAGCACCTGTGTCTGATTAGGGGCATGGAGGTTTGTAAAAATAAGGGAGTTGGGACTTTTTAATCAAAGAGTCTGTTATTCTTAGATGGTGGTGCATTCCAAAAGGACACAGAAGCCATTTGGATATTCTGCTCCAGGGCCGTGTGTGCAATCCCAGGCCTCCGCCAGCGCAGATAAGGAGTTCACCATTGGCATTTGACCAGTTGGCCCTAACACCTCTTTCAGAGTTAGTAGAAGCCAGATTCTTTTTATCAGACTTCTGCACTATCCAATTCTAATGATCACCCTAGAAGGGTGATCATCGACACTTTGTCAAATCAAGTCCCTTCCAATTCAAAGGTCAGCAAAGACATTAGGCGTACTTGTGCCGTACATCTGCTTAACCAGCTGATGAACAAACACGTCATTTGGGAGGGGAATACCCAAACCCAGACATGCACAGAATGAATCCCTCATAAGGTTTTCTTTCAAACAAAGCCAGAAATAAAACCTATTGATCTCTAATTGCCAGAAACTCAATGGTCACCCCAAGATGCTGTTAAACAGAGTCTGCTAATTGTGGCTTATAATTAACTCATGCACCAGCTAATATTATTGAAGTCCTCAAATACTGAAAGGAACAGCGTTATGAATTCCTAGAAAGTCAATATCAGTAATAACCAAAATAACCTTCTGGGTTATTTTTTATTCTGCCTAACTATGTTTTCTGTATTTAGTACAAAAAAATGTGTTTTGATGTTGTAACGTTTGAACCGGCGAGAGGTTATTATTTTACAGAGAATAAAATGTGTTCTCTCCCATTAAAATATTTATTAGTGTTTTTCCTTTCTTGCCAAGATGGTGGGAATCTGATACTGCCACATGCAAACTGCCTAGTAAGTTCATTATATGTATAATTCAGTTCTTACATTTTGTTCTCTCTTGAAGTAGAAATGCAGGCAAAACACACCGGTTCCCCATTGCACTTTGAATTCATATATGTGTCATCTATATATTGGTCAAAAATGTTATGTGTTGAGAAGCCATCTTGATGGTTGTACATCAGTGTGAATGTACTTAATGCCACTTAACTGTTCACTTAAAAATGATTAAAATGAGGGGCACCTGGGTGGCTCAGTCATTAAGTGGCTGCCTTCGGCTCAGGTCATGATCCCAGGGTCCTGAGATGGAGTCCCACATCAGGCTCCCTGCTCAGCGGGAAGCCTGCTTCTCCCTCTTCCACACCCCCTGCTTATGTTCCCTCTCCCACTGTGTCTCTCTCTGTCAAATAAATAAAATCTCTTTTTAAAATTTTTAAAAATTTTATTTATTTATTTGAGAGAGAGAGAGTGAGAGAGAGTATGAGAGGGAGAGATCAGAGGGAGAAGCAGACTCCCTGCGGAGCTGGGAGCCTGATGCGGGACTCGATCCCAGGACCCCGAGATCATGACCTGAGCTGAAGGCAGAGGCTTAACCTACTGAGCCACCCAGGAGCCCCAATATAGAGATTTCTTTTTTTTTTTTAATTTTTAATTTTTTTATTAACATAAAATGTATTATTAGCCCCAGGGGTACAGGTCTGTGAATCGCCAGGTTTACACACTTCACAGCCCTCACCGTAGCCCAACGCAGAGATTTCTTAAAAATAAAACCTTTAAAAAAAAGAAAAAAGGCCTCTCTACATTAACAAAGTGAAGGCTACCAGAGTCTAAGGTTTTTTCTCTGTACCCTCAGACGCTTCATTAAAACACCAGGGAGGAAGAAACCTGTCACACAGATGTCAACTCAGATTAGGGAAGATAAGATTTAAATCACTTTGATTCCAATATGAGAACAGTTTGAGAACGACTTGGCTTCAACCTGTGATTAACAGAAAACCACCTTAAGCCACACACGGTTTCTGAGCTGCGGAGGAGAGGTGGCCCAGGGAGGTGGACACAGGTGGTTTCCAGGGCTCCTTGGTTCATTGGCTCCTTATTTGAGGACAGGGTGACTCAACTGGGGAGAATTGGCTGCTTCAGCCTGTTTGGTCTTGATCTATCCAGAAAACACACTCGCTGACATCTTTCTATCACTAAGTCGTAGGTAGCGACAAAGCAAGTAGGGGAAGGGACTTTTCACTCGGGAATGCTCAGAACCGTCCCAGGACTGCCTTGAGAACCTGCACAAAGGGACGGCCTGAGACCTGCAGGCCCTCGGGTCAACAGCCAGTCTTGAACTGGAGAGGTGAGGAGCCAGAGGGGCAGGCCGGCCAGGACTAAGAATACAGGAGCTCAGAAACAAGCAAACAAAAACTATTCATAAGAAGTCCCAGGAAACAAACTGAGGGTTACAGAGGGAAGGGGGGTGGAGGGAGGGGGTAGCCAGGTGATGGGCGCTAAGGAGGGCATGTGTTGTGATGAGCACTGGGTGTTACAACTAACGAGTCGCTGAATACTACATCAGAAACTAATGATGTTACTATATGCTGGCGAACTGAACATAGTAAAAAAAACTTAAAAAAAACAACAACCAAAAACTGTTCATAAGAAGCACTAAAAGGTGAGAGGGTGCCTGGCTGGTGCAGTTGGTGGAACAGTCACCTCTTGATTTCGGGGTTGTGGGTTCAAGCCACAAGAGATTGGGGTAGAGATTATATACACTGGGTGTATATACCTTAAAACAAAAAAAGTCCTTAAAGGTGAACACAGGCCTGGACCTTCCAGATTGCAATTAGACTGCTAAGTAGCTATCCTTAGAACTTTGTCATATTGATTTAACAAACCAACATAGAAAGCAGAAGACGAAAACCATGTCAAAAGTTAATTTTTAGGGGCCCCTGGATGGCTCAGTCGGTTAAGCATCCAACTCTTGATTTCGGCTCAGGTCATGATCTCAGGGTCTTGGGATTGAGTCCTGTGTCGGGCTCCCTGCTCAGCAGGGAGTCTCCTTCTCCCTCTATTGCACCACCCCCCAGCCCACTCGTGCTCTCTCTCTCTCAAGTAAATAAATAAAATCCTTTTTTAAAAAGTTAATTGTTAATAACCTCCTAAATAGTCTTATTTAATTTTTTTTTTAATTTGAACATAGTTGAACCAGTGTTCCATTAGTTTCAGGTTTATGACTTAGTGAGTATGGTATCTCTGTATGTCATGCTGTGTCTAAGTAGCTTTTTCGGGGTTCTCTTTTAAGGTTTTTCTTTTTAAGATTTTATTTATTTATTTGACAGAGAGAGAGTCAGTGAGAGAAGGAACATAAACAGGGGGAGCGGGAGAGGGAGAAGCAGGCTTCCTGCAGAGCAGGGAGCCCAACACAGGGCTCGATTCCAGGACCCTGGGATCATGACCTGAGCCGAAGGCAGACCCTTAACACCCAGGCACCCCCTAAATAGTTTTAATTAGCCAAATACTGTAGCCTGACATAGCTGGAGGGATGTATTGATAGCACAGTGAACATCAGTAGAGACAAAATGGACCAAAAATTTCAACATACACTGAACCACTGCGGTCAAGGAAAGGCTGTTAGGTTGTGAGAGAGAAAACAAGGGTTTAGCCTCAGCTGTTGCTAACTGGCCCTATGACTCTATCAGGCAGAAATACATTCAGCGGCAGTTAAGAGAACATTCAGTTAGCAGTAAGCTAAATAAATAATATAGTTTGTTTTTCTCACTTGGTAAGTCCAGAGGTGGGCCATCCAGGGTTGGGCATCTGTTAGGAAGCCACCCAGAACATCTGACCCGTCTATATTTGTGTCCCACCATCACCCATGTGTGGCCTTGGTGCTCATGGGTACAAGATGGCAGCTGGACCAAGTTCCAAGCAGAAGACTAGGAGCAGAGCAAAAGAGGCTGCGGCCTCCAGCTGCACTTGCCTTTTTGAAAAAGTTGCCCCAGGAGTCTTTCATTGAGAGATGACTAGGGTGAGGGAGCTGGATTTGCCAACCAACATTAATTACCACAGTGACCTCAGACATACACACAGATCTTAATACAATATCAAGACTAGGGAAGCTTCAAAACCTATGTATACATCTCAGCTCTCTGAATCCTAGCCTCCTCATCCGTAGAGTGTATGGGATGTACTATGGGCATTCTGGGCAGGACGGTTCATTACTGTGGGGCTCTCCTGCAGACGGCAGGACACTACACATCTCTGATCTCCAGGTACCAAATGCCAGGATCCCCCTGCCCCCACAACTGTGATGAAACCAGATAGGCCTCTGCTGGTTTGCAGATGCCTCCGGGTTGGGGTGATGCATGGGAGGGGACTGTCTTGTGGGATTGGAAGCCACTGTCCTAGATCATGTCTAGTCTACAACTGTCTGATTCTCTCTAGCCTTTTTCATAAAAGCGAGTTAGTTTTTGAAGACGTGGTTACCCAGCAGGAATATAGATCCCTATTTTCTATCTCATGGTGGGCTGGTATTCCTTTATCTCCTCACCGCTACCTTTATTATTTTCCTTTTTTAAAAAATTAATATATAATGTATTATTGGCTTCGGGGGTACAGGTCTGTGATTTATTAGTCTTATGCAATTCACAGAGCTCACCACAGCACATACTCTCCCCAATGTCCATCACCCAATCACCCCAACCCTCGCACCACCCTCCAGTCCAGCAACCCACAGTTTGTTTCCTGAGATTAAGAATCTCTTATCGTTTGTCTCCCTCTCTGGTTTCATCCCATTTCATTTTTTCCTCTCTTCCCCTATGATCCTCTGCCTTGTTTCTCAAATTCCACATATCAGCAAGATCATATGATAACTGTCCTTCTCTGATTGACTTATTTAGCTTAGCATAATACCCTCTAGTTCCATCCATGTTGGTGCAAGTGGCAAGATTTCATTTTTGATGGCCGCATAATATTCCATTGTGTGTGTGTGCGTGTGTGTGTGTGTGTGTATAGATATAGATATACATACACATATATATGTATGTCTCTCTCTATATATATATATACATATATATCTCTAGAGATATATGTATATCTCTATATCTATCTCTAGAGATATATATGTATATATATATATCTACCACATCTTCTTTGTCCATTCTTCTGTCGATGGACCTCTAGGCTCTTTTCTTAGTTTGGCTACTGTGGACATTGCTTCTCTAAATCCTTATTGCTACTTTTAGACAATTACATTTTACCTTGCTGAAAGGCCCTCCTCCTCCTCTGAGGCCCATGTTATCCACCACCATCAGATTCTTCTCCCACTTGCTCCAATGATCCATCTATTTCCAGATCATTCCTCCACGTCCTCTAGACCTTCCACTCCAAGCTTTGCCTTCCTCCTCGGTGACTTTTAGATCCATATGGATGGTCTTGCCTGGACTTGACCTCCTGACTTCTAATGCCCTTTACTCTTTCTTTCCTTGTCACCCACACAATGGATGGACCTCAGCACTTGCCATACTGTGAACTACTTAAATTTAACCTTAAACTTGACCAGCTCCCTCTTGGACCACCACTTTCAGTACTTCCATGTTCTCATTCCCTTTGTCCCATTCTTCCTCCTAATGTTGATATGTGAATTTTACTCCAAGGTAGCATCCCCTTCCTAGCTGCACACCTTCTCCACACAGCTTCTGGACAAGCTGGTCCATCCCTCCTGTATTCCCCTGATCTTCACCTCATCCTCCTGGTAAAACCCCAGCCCCAGCTCTAGCTGCTTTTCTGCCCTCTGACTCCTACACTTGAGCAGCTGAACACCCACGCGAAGTGTTGCCATGACAACCGGGTGGTGAGCCGCTGGTCCCTCTACTCGTCCTTGTCAGCCCTCTTCTGTTCCCTACCTTATCACCTCGCCTGTCATTCTCACTCTCAGCAGATAACTTCACTCCTACTTGACAGTGAAAATAGAAGCCATCAGTCAGAAGCCCCCTCAACTTCCTGTCCCCACTGCCACCCCACTAAAACACTTATTTTTATCTGCACTCATCCTTTCCTCCCTTTTATTGTGGGAAAAGTTTCCTTCCTGTGGTTAATCCCTCCACCTGAGCCCTGCATCCCGATAGCTCCAGCCTCCTCAGGGACCTCGGCTCTCAAAGTTCTCTCTCTGCTCCTACAGCATCGCCACGTGGAAAGCTCTCCCATGTTCTCAAACACAGTGTTCTCCAGACCCCACGTTCCCATCTCCACTGTGCAAACTTCCCCTTCCCTCTTTTCCTTTGCAGTCGGAGTTCTCCACCTTTTTCACACCAAGGATGCCTTTGGCTGTCTGGTGGATAATGTTCTTGAAAGCCTGAAATATGCATGGAACTTACCATGAACACCAATGACTGCAAATGCAGTTGTTACAATAGATTTTAAAAATTTGTGACACCATTATACATGCGCTGCTTTCTTTTGTTCTTGGCTATCCTTTGTTAATGCATTAAATAGCAAAATCTTGAAGTGGGTCTAAAAGAACTCCTGTATTTTTATGTAGTGATTATTATAAACACTATTTTGCAACATCTGTGTCAACTATAATGTGAATTAAAACAGCTGTGATTTTTACAGGTGACAAAGTCACAGTTACTACTAATACTACTGAAGATTGATGCCTGCAGACATAATTGAAGAGGAGACGATAGTTTAATTAGAGGTAGGTGAAAAATCAAGGTGTAATTTTTTTCCCATCCAAGTTCGTGGGTCCCGTGAATTCTTTTCTTTTTTTTTTTATAGATTTTATTTATGTATTTGACAGACAGAGATCACAAGTAGGCAGAGAGAGAGGAAGGGAAGCAGGCTCCTCGCTGAGCAGAGAGCCTGATAGGGCGCTCAATCCCATGACCCTGGGATCATGACCTGAGCTGAAAGTAGAGGCTTTAACCCACTGAGCCACCCAGGTGTCCCGTCCAGTGAATTCTTTCCATAGATGCCTTGGAGGGGACCTGTGGGCACCAGATTAAAATGCTTGTTTTAAAGCCCATCTTCTCTGCTCACCTCCTTATCTTCCATTTGTGTCTCAATTTTATGATTCTCCAAATAGCCATTAGTGCCAACTATGTATAACAGTAAGTAATCTTTTGCAATCTGGTTTTCATGGCACAGGGTCATGGCCCCATGGCCCGGGGTCAATATCCTCACCAAAGTTACCAATGGTCCCCTAAATGTGAAGGTACCTTTTCCATCTCCATATTACTCCAAATCATTTCCTCCGTGGAATTTTCTCCTTTCCTATGGCTGCACCTTGAGCGGCAATTAAAAAACAGAATCCAAATCATATAGCTTAAACCATAAGGAAAAATATATTCTACATTTTAAAAAAAGATTTTATTTATTTATTTGGGACGCAAAACAAGGTTTTATTGAGCAATAGGAAAGTATATTGAATGATAGTACAAAGCTCCAAAAGACAGAAGGGACCCAAGAGGGTTACCTATTTATTTATTTTAAAAAAGAGAGAGAGTTCATGCTTCTGTGAGCAGGGGGAGGGGCAGAAGGAGAGGGAGAGGAGAAGGCAAGGAGAGGGGAGGGAGAAGAAGAGGGAGAGAATCTCAAACAGGCTCTTGTGCTGAGTGAGGAGCCTGATGAGGGTCTCGATGAGTAGCTGGATCTCACGACCCTGAGATCATGACCTGAGCTGAAACCAAGAATCTGACACTTAAGTGACTGAGCCACCTAGGCCCCCAAAATAAATCCTACCTTTTAAGAAGTCCAGCTACAAAGCTGATCCAGGGCTGATCAATTTCATGGCTTAGCAATGTCATCCGGGACCCAGGTGCCTTCCGTCTTTTTGCTCTCCCACCTCACCATGATGGCTTATCCTCAAAGATGTTCTCCTCTACACCTTAAAGAACAACTGTAGCAGTTCCAGGTGCCATGCCCAAATGTGATAACATGCAGCTAAAGAACAGGGTGTATCTCTTCCTGTATGTCTATTTCTAATCCGGGAGGAGACCTTCCCCAGGAGCCCCCAGAAGTCTTTCCTCACATCACATTGGCCTAAATTGCATCATATGTCCCTTCCTAAATCAGTCCCTGGCAAGGAAACTGTGATGACCATAACTGGCTTGGATTAATCAGGATTCACTGCCAAACCACTTGGAAGAAGGGTGGAATGCAGAACAAAACCAGGGCTCTGCCAGAAGTGAACAGGCAATCCAACCTCATTGATACACACTAGTTTTTCTTCTGCTTTTTGCTGGCTCCTTCCTTTTGTCTTTGCAATGCATTCCTCCTTCCCACCCCGTTAAGTGTTGTATTGTGTCAGATTCTCTTCCTGTCCTTTTCCAGTCTGGGACCATCCCACCCCACAAATTCTTGCTAAACGACCCTATTTACCCCTATGGCTTGAACTGCCACTTGGGTATGCCTCACTCTCCACCTAGAATTCGCTCCTTAGCTCGAGACCCGTGAATTCTCTGTCACCTCCTGGGACCCTAGCTCCATCTGGATATTCCCAGGCCTCTCAAACTCAACCTGTGCATCCACGTTCTTCCTGAATTCCCTGTGTTTCGGTCATCACCCTGGGACTGAAATCTGTCTGCTCATACTCCTTTCTCTCCTTTACCCCCATTGCAGAATCCATCATCTTAAACTCCTACAGAGTCTCCCCACTCAGTGTCTCTAGAATCGGTCCCCTCTTCTCCAAACTTGGGCAGGGACCTGCTCCTTTCAGGGCTGTGTGGTAACCTTGCCCCTTGCTTTATTCCAGAATACCTGTGTCACTGATACCGGAGGAATCCTTCTCTAGCCTAATTCAGCAACCTTCATCAGCTTCCTGTTTTGCACGGCACATCTCGTCTGGTCCTGGCTGACTTCTCCATTTCACTACCTGACACTTTCCTCCTTCACCCTAAACTCAACATGCCACCTCTCACATCCAGCCCGCACACATGCTGCTGCTTCCCTATCATCAGACCCCTCAACTCGTGCACATGCGCATACACACACACACACACACACATCTTTTTTTCCTCCGTGTGCACTCCAAAATACTTTCATTTTTTTTGACAAAACTTATTTTTGTCACCTACCATGTGTTAGCCACCTTACCATGCTGATGACAGCTCTATCTTATCTTTCTTAAAAATGGCTCCCTTGGGGTGTGTGGGTGGCTCAGTTGGTTAAGCAACCACCTTTGGCTCAGGTCATGATCCTGGAGTCCCGTGATCGAGTCCCACATGAGGCTCCCTGCTTGGTGGGGAGTCTGATTCTCCCTCTAACCTCTCCCCTCTCAGGCTCTCTCTTTCAAATAAATAAATAAATAAAATCTTTTTAAAAAATGACTCCTTTGTGTTCCTTAATAAGGATCGCTGTAAGTTTATTTAAACCCACCCCCTGGATGGATACATGGACAGCCAGGTTGCTTTCCAGCATTATAAACCCCTTGTAGCACCCATCCCTATATATACATCTTTGTGCATATGTCCCAGCATGCGTGCCTAGCTATTAAGGATTCGGGTGATTCCTGGAAGTAGAATTGCCAGTCAAAAGTTATGTGATTTTACATACCAAGAGAATAGCCAGTTTACCCTCCAGAATGTATCCATTTAAACTACCACCAATATAAAAATACTGTATTAAAGCATCTATTTCTCAGAACCTTCATCAACACTAAATATCTTTAAATTTTTGCTTATCTAATATTTTGCCTTAAATTTGAATTTTTCTGATTACTAGTGAGACTGAGTATCATTTTACATTTTTATTTATCATGAACCCTTTCTTTTACCTATTTTTTTTGACTATTCATTCTCCTCCTCCTCCTTCTTCTTCCTCTTTTTCCTCTCCTTCTTCTGCCTCTCCTTCTCCTCCTTCTTCTTCTTTTTTATTAAGAAACCCTCCCCTAGGAAGCCTGGGTGGCTTACTCGGTTGCCTTTGGCTCAGGTCACGATCCCAGGGTCCTCGGATGGAGTCCCACATCAGGCTCCCTGCTCTGCAGGGAGTCTGTTTTTCCCTCTACCCTTCCCCTGCTTGTGATCTCTCTCTCATTCTCTCTCTCTCTCAAATAAATAAATAAAATCTTAAAAACAAAAAACAAGAGCTCCAACTCACAACCCTGAGATCAAGAGTCAAGTGCTCTACCAACTGAGTCAGTCAGGTGCCCCCTTGTTTGTTCTCTTCCTCATTTGTATCCTCCTCCATTTTCTTCACCTGGCCCATTCCTACCAAACATTCAAGGCTCAGGCCAGGCACCACCTCTTTCAAAATAGGTTTCTCCAATTCTCCAATTCTCTGGCCTCTCCCTGCACCCACCCCCAACATAAGCCCCCTGCTCTGCACTCTGTGCTGACCTTGCTCTGTGTTTATCTCCTCCACAAGGCCATGGACACAGGGGTCTGTTACCTCTGTTTCCCCTATTCATATAAGTGTGCCCTGGTGTCGTATAGATACATAACAAAAGAATGAAACAATGAGCAAACGATCCACAAACAGGATCACTTTTAGGGTTATTTCTTTTTTGCTATTCCTTGAGAAAACAATACAGAATTAAATAGCCTATTTTGTTTGTTTCCTAAGGAAGATGAATTTCACGTAACTCCATACAAAAAGCTTCAGCTCTTCACCTGCATTGTTTTAATTTTCTCTTGGCTTCATTTTGAAGGTTAACCCCCCCCCTCCACGGGGGAATGGGATCCCAGTCTCAGGGCTCTAACTAGCTGTCTTCCTCCTCGTCCCTGACACACCCTCCTTTCCCCACCTCACACCTCTGCCTCTTTGCTTCCCCAACATAACTGTGCTCCAGGAGGCCAAGTGTCCAGGAAAGGCCAGAATGGAAGGTGCAGGCAAGGTAATGTTTTATTCAACCTGGAATATCAAATACAAGCTTAGGACATTTAACAGATTTGGTAGTTTACAAATGTTGCATTTATTATCCAAGGCAAACCAAAGCCTCAAAGGAATGCCACATCCCACTTCATTATTATCGCCTGCATCAGAGAACATGGAGCCAAGCAAACTGAACTCAGTACTCAATGATCAAGCCATGGGTGATGACCTTGAGAGCCTGAATCTGAAACCCATGAGAAAGACCCTGAACCTGGTCCTTTTGCTCAACCTCAGTAGAAGGGAGATCCGAAACCGAATCTGTAGGATGGTGACAAATAATCCAGGTTTTAATTTGTTGAAATTTATCCGAAGCAACTACTCATTTTGCTTTTACCCTGAATAAGATGTTTCATCTGTAGCAACAGCTAAGCTATCCTTCAGTTCTGACTACGCCTAGGGGTGATCATAACAGCGGCTGGTGCATGTTGAATGTTTTCTATGAGCCTGGCACTGTGGTAGATGCTCCTGTATCATCTCTTGGAACCAACAACGTGCACGGGTCAGTTCTCAGCAGAAATGGGAATAACCTGCTCATAACTGGGAAGATTTACGTTCAGCTCTGCCCACACGCGTGTCTCCAACCCATTTCTACAGGTAAGAAGGAGCCTCTGGCTGGCCAGAGATGGCTTCTTCGAGGAAACCCACCTTTGCAATTTCCCAACTCAGATCAAGTCACGAGTTCTAACCTGTTTGCCTATAAACTAGGATTTGAAGGAAGTTTTCCCACTTCTGGGAGACTAGCAGGAGGAGCAAGGCATAAGAAAAGGTTGAAATTAAACTCCCTCATTTCACAAGTGCTTGCAGCTTATTATTATTATTTTTTTAATTTTTAAATAAGATTTTATTTCTTGTTTTGACAGAGAGAGGTGGAGCGAGAACAGGAACAAAGCAGGGGAAGCAGCAGAGGGAGAGGGAGAAGCAGGCTTCCCACTGAGCAGGGAGTCCCATGCTGGGCTCGATCCCAGGACCCTGGGATAACAACTTGAGCCTGAGCAACCTAGGCGCCCTGACAGCTTATTATGTTAAAGGAAGCAGACAGTCATTCCAGACTCACAAGGCGGGAGGGCTGGCAAGTTTGCTCTTATCCTTAAAGCCTTCCTCTTCACCTGGGCACTTTGGGAGGGCCTAGCAGAGCCTCTGAAGACAGCCAGCCCTTAGGAACAGCTCTGACAGGGGAAGGGAGCCCCATGGAGGAGCTCAGACTTCAAAGGGAGCACCTAGACCCTCCCTGAAAGGGTGAGGCTGCCAGTCCGCCTGGGGGACACCCCAACAGCCCAAATGGAGAAAGTGGGCTGGGAGGCTGGGGTGGGGTGAGGGGAGGGAAAGTGAGCAAAGGCCTGGGAGGGGACGGGCATGGGGCAAGCCAGAGTCTTCTAAAGAAGCCTAGAGGATTCTTGGCAGCCAGGGCTGGAAGGTGGCCGAGTTCTCATAAAAAAAGAGAAAGTGAGAGAGAAAAGAAAACAAAAAACTTCGTCTGAGCATGACTCTTGGCCGTGGTGCCTTTGCCAGCGCCTCTGCAGCAGCTCCCAGAGAGAGCCTGCCAGACAGGGACAGACAGACAGCCCAATGGAGCAGAAGAACAGCCAGAAGCCAGCCCCGCACCAGAGTGGGGACTTAGAAAGTTCTGGGGCTGAGGGGTCCTGCACCCACTCTTCAGCAATTGGCTTGGAGACCACTGGCCATCCATATGGAAGAGATAAAGTGGATCCCTATCTTACAGCAGGCTTCCAAATAAGTTCCAGATGAGCTAAAGACCTACAGGGTGTTTTGTTCAGGACAAATTATGCTCAGAGACTAAGTTTGTCTTTGCCAATAATTTATTTAACACAGGTCCACTGTAACAATTATAACTTATAGTAATAATATTTCACAAGCCAAGCATACAGGATATTGTCTCTTAATACACCAATAAAGAAATAACATATTCCAAACCAATGATGGATTAGTTACATTATTTTTCCAGGCAAAGGGGAGATGAAAGCAATAAAGACCAGTATTAGTTGGGGTGTACCTTTCTACGAGTTGGTTTTGGGTAGTGTCACTCCTTCCAACTAAAAGCTGGATATCAGCTGCCTGCTTAGGTCCCTCGCTGCTGGGGCACGTAGCTAGCGGGAGTGTTGGTGCCAGTGTTGACAGGCAAGGTGGCTGCTCTGAAGACTGTTACTGCAGGGTCTGCCACACAACTTGTACCACCACTGCCTAGGAAGGATAGCCTCACTAAGGCAGAAGCAGATGTCCCTTCTCTTCCTGAGACTGCCGCGTGGTTTAACACCACGGCTGACCAAGGTAGCCTGGCCACACAGGAGTAAGTAAGTATCTCACAATCTCCAGAGAACTATTTAGATCAGCAAAGAGTAGCCTTGTGCAGACCAAACACTTTTGAATGGCTGGTCATACCTCTTGGTTTTTAAAGTTTAAATGACCGTGTGGTGGACATAATGGCCGCCCGTTACTATGTATGGTGTCTAGAGTTCGATAAGAAAGTGCTAATATCCAGCTTCAAAACAATTTCACGAAAACAAGTTCAAGCCACAAACGACTTGTCCAAAGCAAGTTTTCAAAAACATGGATTTGAAATCGCAACAAGTCAGGACACAACACAGGAAAGAAACAAAACTACTATGGGGCATTTGGAAGAAAACATAAAAGGACAGGTTTATGATACTGGGAAAGGGGAAGATTTCTTTAACAAGGTATAAAACGCACCAAGCAGAAAGGAGTAGTAGAATAACTGTCTACATTAAAATCTTCTCTATCCCAAAAGACACCAGATGCAAAATATAAAGACAAGCCATAGGGGCACCTGGGTGGCTCCGTTGGTTAATTGTCTGCCTTTGGCTTGGGTCATGACCTTGGGGTCCTGGGATCAAGCCCCATATCAGACTGCTTGGTTGGTGGGGAGCTTGCTTCTCCCTCTCCCTCTGCCTTCTGCTCCCCCTGCTTGTGCTCTCTCTCTCTTGCTATCTCTCTCCATGTCAAATAAATAAAATCTTAAAAAAAAAAAGACAAGCCATATCTGTGACTCATACAACCAAGAAAAAAAAATCGTAGAATATCTTATTATGTCTAAAAAAAATAACCCAATAGAAAAATGGGCAAAGGATATGTATAGGCAATTCTGAAAGGTCTAACAACCATAACAAATCAAATCAACCTCCCTTGTGACCAGATTGTGTGGAAATTACAGTCATGAGATCTCACTGAGCAGCCATGGGATGGACAAAAATTAAGATCTGATAACCCAAATGTGGATGCAGGTGTAAGGAAATGGAAACTCCTTCGCTGGTAAGAGTGTAAACTGGTACATCCATCTAGGAAAAAAATATATGAAAACGTGTAAAGCCTTCTAAAGAAGATGCATATGCCAGTGGTAGAGATAGTCTCCTTCATGTTCAGAAGTGACTGATCTGTATTCATTCTACGTAACAGGGGATAAGTAGAAACAATCTAATCACCCCTGTGTGGGAAAGCTATTTCATTCGTCCAATGAAATACTATAAAGCAGTTAAAAACGATGAAAAAAATCTACACATATCAACATTGCTGAATCACAAAAATCTAACATAGGGTGAAAAAAGCAGGTTACAAAAGGCTAGTATACTCTGATAGCATTTACATACATTTTTAAAACAAAAAAGTATACAATAAAAATATAAAATCATGCTTGTATGTTTTAAACTTTAATATTTATTTATTTATTTGTCGGAGACAGAGAGAGCACATAAGCAGGGGGAGCAGCAGACTGAGGGAGAAGCAGCCTCCCCGCTGAGCAAGGAGTCTCATGCGGGGCTCAATCCCAGGACACTGGGATCATGACCTGAGCCAAAGGCAGACGTTTAACGGACTGAACCACCCAGGCCTTCCAAAACTTATCTGTAACTTAAAATAAAACAGAGGGGCACCTGGGTGGCTCAGTGGGTTAAGCGTTCAGTTCTTGATTTTGGCTGAGGTCTTGATCTCAGGGCCACTTATTAGGGAGTCTGCTTGAGATTCTCTCTCTCCCTCGCTCTCTGCTCCTTCCTGTCCTCTCTCTCTCTCTCAAATAAATAATCTTTAAGAGAATTAAAAAAAATAAAACCACAATGAGATACCACTTCACACTCGTTAAGATAGCTATTATAAAACAAAACAAAACAAAAAAATAGAAAGTAACAAGTGTTGGTGAGGATGTGGAGAACTTAGAACCTTATGCACTGCGGGTGGGAAAGCAAAATAGTGCTGCCACTATAGAAAATGGTGCAGCAATTCCTCAAAAACGTAAACATAGAATCACCATATCATCCAGCAATTCTGCTCTTGGGTGTCTACTCAGAATAATGAACAACTGAAAGCAGGGACTCAAACTTATTTGCACAACCATGTTCATGGCAGAATTATTCACAGTAGCCAATAGGTGGAAGCAACCCTGGGGCTTCTACATTCTACATTCTACAGATAAATGGATAAACACAAAATGTGGTATATACATGCGATGGAATATTATACATCCTTAAAAAATTCTGACACTGCTACAACACGAAGTTACCGCGAGAACATTATGCTAAGTGAAATAAGCTAGACACGAAATGGCAAATACTATAAAATACCACTTATAAAAGATGCCTGGTCAAAATCACAGAGACAGAAAGTAGGCTGTTGATGGAGAGTTACTATTTAATGGTACAGGGTTTCAGTTTGGGAGGGTGACAAAGTTCTGGGGATGAATGACAGTGACGGTGGCACAACAGTCGTTATGCCACAGAACTGTACACTTGAAAATGATTAAAATAAATTTTGTGCTAGGTATATTTAACTTAAAAATAGACATTGAAAAAAGACTGGCTTGAATCCAGCCCCTCTGTCCAAAAGAGCCACCAGCCTACTCATCTACCCGCAACGCCCCGCAGAAGGGGTCCTCCTGGACCTTCCCTCCCCGACCCCCCCCCCCCCCCCCCCCGCCCCCCCCCGCCCCTCCCCGCCCCCACACCCAGGTCACTACCTCCGCAGCCCCAGCGAGTCTCACCGCGCAGGCGCGGAGCTGGGGTGGGGGAGCAGAAGGGGGCGTGGCCTCACACTGCGCCTGTGCCGAATTCCAGCTGTAAGTGCTGTGGGGGAAATGATGTCCAGGTTGGGCTCCCCGGCCCGGCGGCAGCGGGGAGGCCTGCGCTGCACACGCGCAGACCGAGCAGTCGCGTCAAAAGACGAAGAGAGCGCGCGCTCCGCACGTCCCGCGAGCCCGGCTGCCAGGCGTTCGTCTCCGCTGTGACTCCCGCGGGGCAGGGCTGGCGCGCCCACGTCTGAAGAGCCATGCCCCGGGAGATCATCACTTTGCAGCTGGGCCAGTGCGGCAACCAGAGTGAGCGAGCGAGCGCCGGGACCCTCCAGTTTCCGGTTTTGCCCCTTCGGGTTCTTCCCAGTGCTTGGCATCCTCCAGTCCCCCTTTCCCTGACATGAACCCCGTGCCCTATTGCGCATGACAAACGCCCCAGCTGGAGAGCCGCACCTGGGCTGTGACAGCTCCCAGACCAGGTGTCTTGGGTGCAGCCTCTGAGTGTGACAGCCTCTGAGCCTGACTCTGGGCGCCTGAGGCCTTACGACTAGCGACGCAGGCATCTCTCCCCATCCCCCAGTTGGGTTCGAGTTCTGGAAACAGCTGTGCGCCGAGCATGGTATCAGCCCCGAGGGCATCGTGGAGGAGTTCGCCACGGAGGGCACTGACCGCAAGGACGTCTTTTTCTACCAGGTGCCCCCAGCGACTTGGCCAGGGGGTCTGAGGGAAGGGCAGGGGCCTGGTACCGAGAGACCCGCTGGGCAGAGGAACCAGGGCGGGAGGCTTGAGGAGGGAGGACAGGCAGGAGCCAGAGCTGGGAGGATGGAGGGCTGGGCCTTAGCTGATTGTGCCCCCTTGCTGGATGCCCCTCGGCAGGCAGACGATGAGCACTACATCCCCAGGGCGGTGCTGCTGGACCTGGAGCCCCGGGTGATCCACTCCATCCTCAACTCCCCCTATGCGAAGCTCTACAACCCAGAGAACATCTACCTGTCGGAGCATGGAGGAGGAGCTGGCAACAACTGGGCCAGTGGATTCTCGCAGGTATCCGGGTGACCATCCCCTAAACCCCCGATGTTCCCTCCCCAGAGCAAGGCAGGCTCAGGCATCCTGGGGATTTGACTAGACCAGACTGACAAAAAAATAAGAGACAACGGAATAACCTGATAAGAGGGACAGCCAAGGAGAGGTTTAGGCAGATTGCAAGTCATTTGCAAAGTAGCTTTTTTGGGGTTGAGGGTCATGGCTGAGACTCTGCTTGAGGGTGGCAGTGGTGTCCCAGGGTAGAGTTTTTGGTGCTGAAAAGAGATACTCCCCAGAACCCTCATCCTCACCCTCCCTCTCATGTCTTTCTCTACAGGGTGAGAAAATCCATGAAGACATTTTTGACATCATAGACCGAGAAGCAGATGGAAGTGACAGCTTAGAGGTGAGGCTCCGCCCCCGCTGAATGGAAAACAAGGCTGAAAAGTGCTGGGAAAGGTCAGGATGTTCGTGAACAGGTGGTGTGATGGGGGCAATTCTATTAAAAACTAATCTTTTGAGTATCCTATGTGAGGTATCGAGGTAAATAAGGTACAGTACTTGTCCTCAAGGAGATCCTCATCTGGATGGCATCAGCTCCTTAGGCATGAGTCTTCCTTCCCAAAGAGTGTCAGCCTGGATAGACACAGAAGAAGCCTTGAGACATGAGTGTGTTGGGAGTGGGGAATGAGACAAGCCTGGAGCCTTTGCCCCATATCCCTGGAGACCGCCTCTCCATCCCTTCCCATGCAGGGCTTTGTGCTGTGTCACTCCATTGCTGGGGGGACGGGTTCTGGCCTGGGATCCTACCTTCTCGAACGACTGAATGACAGGTAAGCCTGTGTTGGGGGAGAGGGCATTAGCCCTGGTTCCGTGGATAGGGTCTTTCCTTTTTATTGATTTTTTCTCTTGGACTGGAAGGTCTGGCACTGTCACTTTGAGTCATTGGTAGGAACGGAGCCTGGCCATCCAGAGAATGTCTTGGAAGCAAGAACTCCCAGGAAGGGGTTTGCCTAGGGAAAAGAGGGACCTTAAGGGTCTGATGGGTTTGATGCTTTAGGTTTATTCTTTTTGGCTCCTGAGCTCTGACCACTCGGTTCTGCCCTTGCCCCCCTTTTGTACCAAGGGCTTGGTGGCACTTGGAAAGGAATGGTCGTGTAAGCTCTAGAGAAGACCAAGATGGGCAGTGATGGGAGTCCTTCCAGTTCACTGTGTCACGTTTCCCTTTCCCTCTTTGCCCCCAGGTACCCCAAGAAGCTGGTGCAAACGTATTCAGTGTTTCCCAACCAGGATGAGATGAGCGATGTGGTGGTCCAGCCCTACAACTCACTGCTCACACTCAAGAGGTTGACCCAGAATGCAGATTGTGTGGTGAGCACTGGAAAAGGGAGTGGGGGGCTCTGGTCCACCTCCTCAAACCTGTGAGACATGGACACCCTGCCCTTCCCAAGTCCCTGCCTAGAGAACAGAGGACCAACAAAGCCATTCCCAGTGGCCCAAATTATGAAATGAGTTGACTCCAAGTTGGTTATAGTCCCTTTAGGCAGCAGGACTCTCAAGAACATGTATACTGCCTGATATATGTCCCCATTTAGCCTGTTTAATGCCTACTCATGCTTAAATTCTCAGCCTAAGGGTCACTTTTGGAGTCAAACTTCCCCTGACCACCCATTCAAGATAAATTCCTTTGTGCATATTTCAGGCTGTAACTATACTTTTCTGTGAGGAGGACAGACCATGCCTGTTTTATCCCCCATGGTATCTACAGAACCAGGCACGTGCATGGCACGTGGGGATAATCACATTTGTTTACTGGATGATAGAAAAGCGTCTGGTGATGCCCCTGAGACAGTAGTTTCCTTTTTTATGTTAACACACCTACGCCCTGGTTTTGGAGTTTAGAGGGGGCTAAGCTAATAACTTTTTTTTTTAAAGATTTTATTTATTTATTTGACAGAGAGAGATCACAAGTAGGCAGAGAGGCAGGCAGAGAGAGGGAGAAGCGGACTCCCCACTGAGCAGAGAGTCTGACGTGGGGCTCAATCCCAGGACCCTGAGATCATGACCTGAGCCGAAGGCAGAGGCTTAACCCACTGAGCCACTGATGCCCCGCTAAGCTAATAACTTATCTCCCTGCCCCTTTCTCCTCAAAAAGGTGCCATGACCCTCTTCTGTCCCCCGCAGGTGGTGTTGGACAACACAGCCCTGAACCGGATCGCCACGGACCGCCTGCACATCCAGAACCCGTCCTTCTCCCAGATCAACCAGCTGGTGAGCCCCCACTCCTGGACTCTCTGGGCGGAACCCCTCCTTGCTGGGGTCCGCCTTGGGAAGGGAACCCCCATCCTTCCATGGGGCCAAGGCCTACGGCATGCGCTCCTGTCCCCAGGTGTCCACCATCATGTCAGCCAGCACCACCACCCTGCGCTACCCCGGCTACATGAACAACGACCTCATCGGCCTCATCGCCTCGCTCATTCCCACTCCTCGACTCCACTTCCTCATGACAGGCTACACCCCGCTCACCACGGACCAGTCGGTAGGAGCAGTCGCGGCAGGCCCTGCCCTCGCCTTTCTGGCCCCTGCTGCCCCAGGAGCTGCCCCTTGCGGCCCCCAGAGGCTCTGTGCTCCGGGACTAGCATAGACCGTCTAACGCCACACTGACCCGCTCTCCTCTCCCCTGTGCCTCTGGCTCCCTCCCCGCAGAGTCCAGGCCCTGTGGCGTCTACGGATGCTCCCGCACAGGGCCGTGACCTTGCCGAGCTGAGGAGGACTCAGTCCCACAGCAGAGGCTCAGTGTAGACCTGGATCTCGAGACCCTTCCCCAAGAAACCACACTAGCCCGAGTCAGACAGGGCTGAGGTATTGGACGGTGGCCTGAGTGCAGGCCCGGGCCCTGTGGCCCACTGTCCCCTCAGGTGGCCAGCGTGAGGAAGACCACGGTCCTGGATGTCATGAGGCGGCTGCTGCAGCCCAAGAACGTGATGGTGTCCACGGGCCGGGATCGCCAGACCAATCACTGCTACATCGCCATCCTCAACATCATCCAGGGGGAGGTGGACCCCACCCAGGTAGGTGAGGCCCCTTCGTGCCACCCCCGGGCCCACAGGGGTAGAGGAGAGGCTACCACCACCACTGCTGTGTGCACCCCTCCCCCCAGGTTCACAAGAGTCTGCAGAGGATCCGGGAAAGGAAGCTGGCCAACTTCATCCCCTGGGGCCCTGCCAGCATCCAGGTGGCCCTGTCAAGGAAATCTCCCTACCTGCCTTCGGCCCACCGGGTCAGTGGGCTCATGATGGCCAACCACACCAGCATCTCCTCGGTGAGCCTAATCTCCTGGGCTTCACTGACCAGTCTATTCCACTAGCCACTCTTATCATTCTGCCCCATTCCATTCCAGCCCCTTATCTTGCATGGGTTTCCATCCTGGAGATTTCTATCTCTTTCAGCTCTTTGAAAGTTCCTGCCAGCAGTATGACAAGCTGCGGAAACGGGAGGCCTTCCTGGAGCAGTTCCGCAAGGAGGACATCTTCAAGGAGAACTTCGACGAGCTGGACACGTCCAGGGAGGTGGTGCAGGAACTCATTGATGAGTACCATGCAGCCACGCGGCCAGACTACATCTCCTGGGGCACTCAGGAGCAGTGACTTCCTTGCCACCACTTCCCCTGGACAGTAAGCACAGTCCCCATAATGCCTGGTCCCTGTGACATGGATTCCTCTCAGCTAAAACCTTTCTAGAATCATCTCCATCCCAGGTGCTGGTCCTCCTTCCTCCCTTCTCTGCCCTGACCCTTGATATGCTTGTTATCTCTAATAAAGTGATAAAGCTTTGTTGTGCATATAGTCAGAGTGTGAATATGGGGGGATGACCCATGTTCCCTCCCAGTTCCCAGGCATGTGTCCTTTACCTGCTGTAGCTTCTTACCACTAATCTGGGTGTCAATATGGTCACTGTTTCCATTGGCATACCTTGCCTAGAACCAGGACACTCTACCTGAGTCAGCCCTGAGGGTTACTGAGGTCTGCCCTGTCCTCGGTGCCGGAGCTTCTGCCCCCAGGTGGATCAGTACTGCCCCAGACTCTTCCACTCAGGGAGGAGGCTGTGGGGGTTAGTGAAGGAGGGCCTGCAGCATACTGAGCAGGTCGGGAAACCTGGGACTCTGGATTCCCAGCGCCCAAGGCTATCAGATCCCTAGGAACGCAACCCAATTCAACCTAGCTTGATAAAGCAGGAACAGAACTCAGGAGTAGGGCTGAGCCCATCCTGATAAGGTGTTTATCTGTGCCAGAGAAGCTCTTGGGTCTGATCCATTCCCAAGCTTCTCTCCATTCCAGACCCAAAGCAGTAGGCACACCGACATGGACCCAACGAGGGCCCAGATGCTGGACACTGGGGTAGGAACTGGGTAGTGCCAGTCTTGATGACTCACTGCCTTCCGGCCTCAGGGACGCCAGGAGGCCACCCCTGTGCTGCTCAATGGAGAAGTGAGTGTGAGTAATTGCCAGCTTCCCAAACTGCCCTGTTCCCTGCCCCACCCAGCACCCTGTGGCAGCCTGCTGGCTAGGAGGAGGTTAAATCCAGAAGGTCAAGGAGGGTGGAGCTCTGTGGTGTCCAGACTCCCCTCAGTGCTGGTAAAAGCTCAGAGTGTGGGCGTCCCCAGGGGTGGAGCGCTGAGCTATGGGGCTCTAACTGGTCCCACCGACAACACTCCCACAGGAAGGGTTTGTGTAAATATGGATTTTTTTTCGCTTCTCTTCTACAAATAAATTAAGAAACAAACTAGAAAATCATCGGCACCCATTACAGCCCTTGGGTGTGGGGTGTGCCCTGTCCCTGCAGGGCCAAAAAGGTCCATGGTTCCCTCAAATCTCAGAGCAGTCCAGGTCCAGGCTGGAGGCAGAAGGGAGGTCGTGACCTCTTGGCAGGCTCAGTCCTGCAGCTGCCCCAAACAGCCAGACTGTCCCTGGGGCTCGTCCAGGCCCGGGTGCTGGCTGGGAGGGGAGGTGTCTGGCAGGTCTTGGCATGGAGGAGAAGGGCTGCTGCAAGGCCTCTCAGGGGAGGGATTGGGCAAGTAGGCATTCACCAGCTGCATGATCTCTTCCACCTAAGAGAGGGCAGAGGTCAAAGGGCGGTAGGGGTCACTGGGTTCTCCTTTGTCTCATCCTTTGCCCAGGCTCCTCACCAGGGCCTTCTGAGAGCTGCCCCCCTCCCCGCAACCTTTCCCTCCTCACCACCATGCTCTCCCTCACTCACTATGTGCCAGTCACACTTGTGTCTTTCTGCTTCTCTAAATGCTGTTGTCCTCTCAGAGCCTTTCCACCTGTGATATCCTCTACCTGGGATGCTGTTTCCCCAGATCTTCCTGTGGCTAGCCTAAATATCACTTCCAGTATCCCTTCCTGACTGTCCTACCTAATGCTATGACCCCTTCCAGTCACTTCATGTCACACCACCCTTCCCTTGGTAGCATCTATTACTGTCTTAGATAGTTTCTGATTCCTTATTTAGGGTCTGACCTCCTGCCCTAATGTAAGCTCCTTGAGCTTATCTTTGATCACTGCTGGATCCCCAGTGACTAGACCTGTACCTGGCTCAGCAATAATAAAATGTTTCTTAACATCCTTTCCCTTCCTTCCTCCTTCCACACCCTCTTCCCACTCACCTGGGGACTCTGCAGGACGAGCTGGCTCTCTCCCACCCTCAGTGCTAGGGTGTGGGGGCCCATTAGCTGGCAGGCGGCCACGTGGCCATAGCTGACACTGTGGATGGGCTCTGTCTCACCCGGCCGGGAGAAGGACATGGCCTTGGCTCCCAAGCCCAGGCATAGCTTCTGTGGAGTGCCCCCACCAGGCTCCTAGGGACAGATGGGTAGAGTCAGGATGGACGTAGGGGACCCCGCGGCATTATTTTTGGTGTGGGGAGACAGCTGTGAGCAGGAGTGTCCCGGTCTCCTCTGTGATTCACACAGCATATGTGGAAGGGCTAACGCCTCTGGAGAGGGGAGAGCCCAAGGGCCAGTGACTCCTGGGGTTTGAGAGGGTCAGCTGTGCTGGGTGTGGGGAGTGAGATGACCCACAGTGGGGCCTGTGGCTCTGGGGCAGAGGTGTAGGGCTTGGGCCGCCAGAGTCCCTTCTCCCTTCTCCCCCTCACCGTGCTCAGCTCCAGAACGTCATACCGAGCAGCGCCGAACCCTGGACACTGCGCCGCCAGGGCCAGGTAGGCAGCCATGGCCTCAGCTCGGCCCATGCCCCGTAGCCGCTTCCAGCCGCCCAGCACAGCAGCCGCCGTGCCCGCGCCACCTCCTCCCTCGCGGGCCGCGCTTCCCGCCGGGCCGCCTGCCCCGCCGCCGCGCCGGGTCCGCTCCGCCCGCCTCTTGGCCAGGCCCGGGCTCCAGATCGCCCCGGCCAGCAGGGCGGCGGAGGGGGGAGGCCGGGGGACGGGGCGGGGAGGGTCGTCCCGCGGCGGGGCGGAGGGCGGCAGCAGGCGGTCCAGGCGCGGCAGGGGCGCCCTCGGGGAGAAGTCTCGGTGCAGGCTCTGCAGACGCAGCGCCGCCAGGGCGCGCAGCGTGTCGTCGGGCGGGGGCGGCCGGCCGCGCAGTAGCAGAGCGTGAGCCTAGGAGGAGGCACCGGGTGTCAGCGCGGGAGTGGCGGCGAGCACACCTGGGGGCGCAAAGTCTGACGTCTGGGTTCGAGTAAAGCCTCCCGCGAGGTTGCCATAACGGTTAAATGTGACGGCCCGGAAAGCGAGGGGGGGCTGTCTTTTGGGGGGGCAGTGAACGCTGGAGATGCTCACCTGCTCAAAGAGGAAAGGCAGTTCGTGACCGTCTGGGGACAGCCCCTCAGGGTGCAGGGGCCCGTGAAGACGCAGACACAGTCTCCAACCAGAGTCCAGGGAGTCGTCCAGCCCGGCTTCCTCCACCGCCAAACTGCAGAAGAGAGGAGGACTCGATGCCACGCAGAAGAGAGACCCCCCTCCAAGGCGTCGGCCACGGCGGGCAGGGGTGGGGGGCGGGGCCATGCTGGGGGCGGGGCCAGAAGTTTGGGACGCCTGGAAATCTGACAGCAAACCGCCCGCGGTCAGGGCCCCTCCGTGCAGATGGGTTACCGGAGAGCGGGGCTGGGGCTGGACATTTACTTCTCAAACCTGGTGAGCACGTCGGCCACGAGAGTACCCCCGGCCAGGGCTCGCTCCTGGGCCCCTCGCTGCTCATACAGCGCGAAAGCGTTGCGGCTCCGAGCCAAGCCCAGCCGTCCCACCAGCTCTCGAGCAACCTGGAGGGGAGGAGGCAGGAGGGGGAAATCAGACCGCGCTGGGGTCTTGCCAGCTGGCGAACTCTTTCAGGTCTCCCGGTCCTGCCACACACACGCCTTACGCAAATGATGGATCTTAGACGTAGGCAAACCTAGGGCCCAGGCACCAGGACGGCCGGGCATGGGAAGCTGGGAGGACGGGTTGAGGTTTCAGGGGTCTTTTCTGGCCGTACCTCGCCCGCCGTGGTGTGGGAGTCTATGACCACAGGACAGGCACCAGCCCCGGGACAGTGCACGGTGCATAAGAGCTCCTGCCGTTGGCTCAGCGCCGAAATCTCTGCCAGCGAAGGCACCAGCTCGCGGCCGCGCGTCCGGCCCAGCGCTTTCCTGATGAAGCGCGCGTACTCCGCCAGTTCCGTGTCCGGGAGCGCCTGCTCCGTCCTGGGTTAGAGAAAACCCGAGGGTTAGTGCTCAGAGAGCTTTCCCTCTCCCCATCCCTCTCGCCTTCTTATTGTATCGTTTCTTTCCTCTCACGGATTCCCACCCCTCCAACTCTAAGTTGCTTGGACCTAACGACCCGCTCTCTACCCTTGGAGCACTGCGTGGAGCTCAATTACTTTCTAAGGCTCCTACAGCTCTCTCCTAACCGCGTCCTCCCTCTTGCCAAAGTCTCTCCATGATCTTCCGCGCTGAAATCCATAATCCAGCCCCATTCCGCTCTGCAACTTAGAAGCGCTGGCTAGACTGCCTCAGCCCAGAGGAAAAGCAGCCCTTAGCAATTCCTCTGCCTCAAGGGGGGCGCCTTTTGCAATCCTTCTGCAGGAAAGTGGGATTTGATCTCGTAATTCCCACAAAGACCCTGAGCATATTAGCCGCGGTCAAGTCTCTTCCTCTCTCTGGGTCTAAGTTCTCCTACCGCCAGTTTGGCAAGGCCTGCCATTCTCTCCCGGGCCTGCAGCTCCCCTGCCTCGTCCTTACCCCAGCCCTCCCCTCTCACCTCTCCAGATGCCCCAGAAGGTGCCCGCGGACTGCTCCCCCCGGCCGGAAGGTGCAGCTCATACAGGTGAGGAGCTGCCAGTACCGAAGGGCCGCAGGGTCTTGGGTAGCTGGGGGCCCGGGAGGGCCTGCGGGGCCCGAGGTCTGCTTAGCCAGCTGCAGGAAGAGCTCGTCGCGGAGCGCGGGCAGGTCCCGGCAGGTTTGGAGCACACCCTGCATCAGGGGCCCGGGGCGCCGCGCCCCCTCCAGCGCCTGCAGCGCCAGGAACAGCCGCACCGCCTCCTCGCGCAAGGGTGCGTAGCCCGGACCTGCGGGAGGGTGGGGGCGGAGGGACGGTTTGGAGAGGGGACACAGAGCTGGGCCCTGAAAGGAAGGCATGAACCAGGGAAAGGTCAGAGGGAGTGTAAAGGGACAGGGGTTGGCAAGGAGGGGAGAGTACGAACGACAGGAAGAGTGAAGGGAAAGCAGTGGTCCCCACAGAGCCTCCCAGGCACCTCCCCCGGGGGAGCCACTAGGGCTGCTCTCTGAGTTAGTGAGCTCCAGGGGTTGACTAAAGGACACAGGTTCAAACCCCAGATTCTGCAACTGGGCACTAAAAGCCTATCAGCATGGGCCAGAAAGCAGGCTGGACTGGGAGTCAGAAAACAAGGGTTCTTCTCCCAGCTCCTCTTAATCTTCTACTTTTAGGACCTGGACTCTCACTATTCCTTTTAGGGAAGAGGTATAGCCAGATGAGGCCAGCCCATTCCCCACAGTGCTGGCTTTTCCAGCAGTTGAAAACATAGTATGCCGGGGTCTAAAGAGCATAAAGAAAAATAGAGTGTAAAAACTCATGAAGGAATACCAGTAGTCAGAACGAGATCCATAGACAAGGTGGTCAAAGGGGGCATTTTTTCCTGTGCTGGCTTCCCTCTCCTCCACCCTAGGTATCAATCCAGCCAGCATCCATTCTCAGCCCTTTGAAAAGTGAAGGGCTCAGCCCCCTTTGGACTTCTAAGTCCCTGTCAAGTGAGGCATTCAGATTCCCCATCCAAAGGACTGGAGCCATGCCACCACTCACCTGGGGCGCTGACCCCATACGGCAGGGGCAGGAGTGGAGCATACAAGGCCCCACTGGTGTGCCTCAGGATTGGATTCCGTCGGTAAATAAGGGCCACGGCTTCTGGGTCCCCACAACTCTCCTAAAATCAGGGAAGGAGTCACAAGGATGGAAAAAGGGGCTCCCCACAAACTCAGGAGGCTTCTGGGGCCGCCACCCTCCTCTTTCTCCATGAAGTCCTCTCTGTCACACCTGAATGTCCCTCAGCAGCAGCTGGGTAGGGGTCTCCAGGGGCGCCTTGGAGGCGATCACTTCTCGCAGCGCCAGACCCCAGCGTTCCGCCTCTGCCTGGCGCGGGGAGCAGAGCCGGACGCTGTGCTTCCGGCCAGACACGGTGACTGACCACAGACCTGGAGAAAGAGAGGCCATGGAGGGCAATCAGGGCCGGACGGGGCCGATAGCAGGGAGGTACAAGAGCCCTCTGTGAAGCCTCACCGGTCTCCTTGGGACGGCGCTCCGGGCCGGTCACCGAGCACAAGCTGGTGAGCACGAGGCTCCGGAGGCGCCGCGCCCCCTTCCCGCTGCTACTGAATTGGTCCAGAGAGTCCCGGGTGAGCACGAACCAGGCCCGGCGCGGGGGCAACCAGGGCCGAGCCCCTCCTCCGCGGGGCTCTCCGTACAGCCAACCTGGGGGGAGGGGAGGGAGAAAAAGGGGATGAGCAAGAGAAGACCTTATCCCCTGGAGGGTTGGGATTGGGACTTCCAGAGTGCTTGAGGTGGGTCCCCACCTTTCACGACGACGTCTGGGTCCTCCTCGGGCGGCCCCTTCTCCGGGATGAGGCTCCGCGTCTCCTCCCAGCTCTGCAGCCTGGGCCAGAGGGGAGGGAGGATTGGGCGAGGCTGTCGGTCCAGCACCCCGCCTCCAGGGGGCTCTTCAGTCGGGGCTCCCCAGACCGCGAGGGGAGCCTGCTCCGGGCCTGGACACCCCTCCCCCAGACTGTGGGAACCGCTGGGCCGTTCTGACCTCGCACCAGAAATAGCCCAGACCCCCCCCCTTTCTCCCCGCGCCCCCAGTCGGACCGCCCCCCCGGGACCCCGGCCAAACCACAGCGTCCGGCGTAAGGCCTCTCCCTTATTGCACAACTGCGGGAGGGCAGACTGCGAGGATTGGGGTCCAGGGAACAGGCTTGGGGGGGGGGGCTTCATACCCTAAGACGCAGGGGCCGAGCTCACCTGTCTGAGACCTGCGCACTCCTCACCGGCTGAGTCAGCGTCACGTCCAGGGGGCCCTGGGGAAACAGGGAAGCAGCCCTCAGGATCAGAGCCGTCATCGCGGGATGCCCGTGGCTTCTGCCCCCAGGAGAGCGCTGCTCGGGGGAATTGAGGGATCAAGGAGCGGGGTCGTGATCATGAGGGAAAGAGCTGATGCCACGAGGAAGCCCCTTCTGCCAGTCTCTACGGAACAGCCCTAGCTAAGAAGTCAAGGCTCCCGCGTTGTCTGTTTCCCTTTGAGGATTTAAATCAGGGCGGGATACGCTGGAAAGAGCACTGTGCAGGGAGTCCAGTGGGGAGACCTGGATTCTAGTAACAGTCTGACCACTAACTCGAATCACTGGCTGTGGAACCTTCACAGATCCTCTCAGTCTTTGGGCCCTAGCTTCCCCATCTTTGAAAAGGAAGAGGTGGAGGAAACTCCTTTTTGTTGGAAGTCACCCCCTCCTCCTCATTTCCCCTTCATTGGCTGGCACACCGGCAGGTGCTGGGCACAGCGCTGGATGAAGGGAAGTGGGACTTTTTCAGTATAGGGCTTTCTTCAAGAACTTCTTATGCCCTCCCACAGACACTCCTGAGACTTAATGGTAAGCAGAGACCCTCCCCCTTTGCTGGGGCTCTGGAAGAGCACGTAGAAAAATGGCACACGCTCTCCAGGAGAGGTACAGTTCAGGATTTTGCCCTTCTACCTCCTACCCTGGAACTTCAACAGGAGAATGGGGCCTGAGAGAGGCCAAAATCCCGTCCAGGAGCCAGGTCAGGGGAACTGTGCCATCGTCCCATTGCGCCCAGACTGCTAAAGCCAGGAGGGGGAGGTGGGGGAGGGGGCAGGGACACCTGTCCCCAAGCTCGCGGGAGGGGAGTGGAGGTGGAGCATGAGGGAGGCAATGGCGTGGTTCACAGAGCCGTGGTTCACAGAACTGACCCAGCCCAGGCTGGAAGCTTGGGGACGCCTGGGTCCTGTGCCTTCCTGGGACGCAGACCCACCTTTCTGGAGGGTCCAAGAGGAGTTCTTAGCCACACTGCCGCGGGGGCAGGTGCTGACCACTCTCTTAGTCCAACTCTCCTAATCGCAGTCCCCTGCTTCCCTCCCTCCACCCCCCTCTATATTTATCCGCCCTCCGCCTCCGCCAGGTGCTGGCGCCGGCCCCAGCGGCGCAGCCCGCCCCACCCGGGCACGGAGCCACCGGGCCTGCTGGGGACCCCTGAGCGGGGGATGGGAGCCTGACCCAAGCCATAGCACACGGGAGTCTGGTTGCCGGTGTGCAGGGGACTCCGGAGGGGACATCAGGGTATGGAGGTCTTCCAGACCAATCGAGCCTCAGTTTCCCCACGGGGAGAGTCCACAAAACCGAGGAGCCAAGTGTCCCTCACCATCCCCTCAGGGATTCCCCAGGAGCCTCACCAGGGAGGGCCGAGAGTTCTGTCTTGAGTGGCAGGGTAATGACGAGGGGTCCTCGAAGAGTTGTGGCCCCCAGCTCCCTCTCCGTGGGGTCCCTGCCACGGACCCCAATCTGAGGATGCCTTCTCCCCCTCTCCCAGGTCCCCGCGGCGGGAGCTCCGGCATCTGGCCCCAGCACTCAGCGCTCACGAACTGGGAGCAGAGCGGACCCAGGCGTCCGAGCCGCCCAGCCGGCCTCGCCACATTCCTCGGCGCTGGCGGAGGCGGAAGGAGACGGGATGGGACGCGGGCCCGGCGGGGAAGGGAGAGGCAGGGCCAGGTCGGGCCACGCGTGACGCCTCCCCTGCCTCAGGGCCCCTAGCAGGTGGACAGCGCCCAGCATGCGGCGCGAGGCCCACAGGCACATCCCGAGTAGGGCTGCTCCTTGAGCTCCCGGGGGCTCCTGGCCCCCCAGGCAAAAACCTCTCCCACGTCCCCGTCTGCCCAGCGCACGGCGTTTGGCTGGAGTCTGGAGCAGGATCAGACGTGACGGCCGCTTGTAGTGAGAGGGATTGAGACAAGGCTCCAAACCCCCAGGGACTTACCCTCCCGCCGCCCGCTGGACTCGGGGTCCGCAGCTCAAAGGTCTCCTCGTCCTCGTCCTCGTCCCCGTCCCCGCTAAGCTCGCCGTCCCCGTAGTCCCGGTGCAGAAGAGTAAAGCCTCGACGGCAGCAGAGGAGCCACCACAATCCCCCGGGGAGAGGCATCCGGGCGAGCAGCCGGGGGATGGGGGCGCGGGCAGCCGGGCCGAGCTGCAGGGGGTCGGAGAAACTGGCGGGGCTCCGACCCCAGCGGGGGAATGATGCGGCGGGAGGAGGGGAAGGGAGAGGGGGACTAGGAGGAGGCAGTGTCTGGCGCTGGGCTGCAAGGGGTCGCTTGCTAGAGCCTGCGGGGGGCTCGGTGTCTGGGCCCCCGGAGGGGGAGGGGGAAAGCGTCCAAGGCTGGGTGGGGGGGAGCAATGTCCGGAGCTGGGAAGTAGTGTCCGTTGTAGTGTCCAGCCCTGTGGGGGGCAGTGTCCGGTGCAATGTCCGAGGTGGGCAGTTGTCCAAGCTCCAGGGAGGGTCGTGTCCGGTAGGGTGTCCGGTGGCCGGGGCCCGGGCCGCGCGCGCTGCGCTCCCTGCAGCCCCGGGACTGGCGCGCTAGGGGCGCGAGCACAGCGCCGGGACCCCGCCTCCCCAGCCCCCTCCCCTTCGAGGCCCCCCCCTTTCCCTCTCTTTCTCTCCTCCCTTCTTTACAGGGCAGGGTGCAGTTTTCGTCACAGTCTCCCCTGCCCAATCCCTGTGCCTGGCGCCGGGCGCGGCCACCAATCAGGCCACTGAAACCGCGGCGGGTTGCATCATGTGCCCCTGGCTTGGTGACAGCGGGGAGGAGCTGAGGAATAAAGAGGGAGGGGGCGGTGCGATGTCAGCCACGCCCCCGTCCCCGAGGTCGGACGCGGAGTGCTGGTGATGTCACGGAAGCCCGCCTTCATGCCCTTGTTTTAACTCTTGGCTCACCAGCCAGCAGATTAAAAACCCTCTCGAGAGGGAGCATTGGAGAACGAAGGGCATGGGGCATAGAGGAAGGCCCCGACTGCGGCTCTCTGAACCCCTATCTCGTCTCGGAGTCCCTGAGAAAGGAACGATCTTTAGCTACCTGCGCCAGGCACAGCCCTGGAGGCGGCCCTCCGCCACTGGATGGAGTAGTCCAATTCTTTGGTCTGAGTCACCTCCTTTTTAAGGTGCAGAAGCTGAGGCAGAGTCGGGGAAGTGCAGACCCAGGTCGGAAATTAAACCTGATTTCGAGCGTACAGCTCACTGAACTTCAGTGGGGAGAGTGATTTAAGATTCAAGGGAATTCTACGGTCTTCGAAGAGAGTGGAGGCCTCTCGGGGAATATAGCCTGAGGTCCTGTGTCTGAAGGGGTTAAGCGAGGCGCTAAACGGACCGGGAGGGGCGGGGCCGCGGACGGGGCGGGGCCAGGGCGACAGCGGGCGCGCGCGTGCGTTGCTGACTCAGCGGCGATTCCCGCGGTCTCCGGTGGAGAGTTCCAGGTTGGCCCCCAGTGGCTGGCTTGTAGGACCTTTGGAGGATCGGCGCCATCTCCGGGCCTTCCCTGGATTCTGTCCCCTGGTGGAGGTGGCTTTCGGTCTCTGCCGCAGGAGGCTCTAGGAAGGAAAGCTAGCCAGCGCTGGGCGGGGCGGGACAGGGCGGGGACGTCGGGCCAGCGCCTCCCTTGAGACCTCCCCGCCACGCCCCGCCCTTCTTGCTCCGGGTCCCCAGACTCCAGGCTGGAGTGGTCCGGGCAGCTTTGCTGACCGGATATTAAACTGCAAGAGTTGTCGCACGTGAACACCATCCTGCCTACCGTGCTTGTGTAAAACAAAGACCAGGAATCCATGCGACCGTCAGAGGCTGTCTCGGCCTTGCCCTCGCCCCAGATGACAGTGGCCAGCACTGAGATTTTCTCGAGACGGAGACATTCGAACCATATACTCTCTTCCCTGTCTGGATCCCAGGCCCTTGCCTGCAGGAAAGTTCTTTCCGATGTCTAACCTCTCTCTTTCCGGCAGGCTCAGCACATTTCCTCTGACCCTGTCCCCAGGGAAGATGGAGAACAGCAGTCACCCCCACCCCCACCACGCCCATGATAACGACTCTGGAAATTTTCAAATTGGCATTATCTCCTTGGTTTCTCTCCAAGGTGAAAAACTCCCACTCAACTTTTTAAATTACCTTTTTTCCTTTTTTTTTCCCCGCCACGGAATCTTAGAAGAGATTGTAAAGTGATAATCTAATCCAAGACCCTACCCAAAACTGGAGTCTCCTGGGCATTGTCAATACCTACCACCACACCATGCACAGGCACGCACAATTCCCAACAGCCTTGGCCTGAACATTCCGGAGGCCAGGAACTCCGTACTTGCTAAGGCAGCCATTACTGGATAGCACTGTAGTTGTTAGAAAGCTCTTCCTTGTGCTACTTTAAGAGGAACCCCAGCCCTCCCCCCTTGGCAGCTTTCCCACCTCACATCTTGTTCGAAGAGACCAGGTGAAGGTGGAGGGAGTGACAGTGCCTAGAGCTTCAGGCTCAGCAGCTCTGCACACCCCCACCCAGACTCTCAGTGCCTTCCACTCGGAGCCAAGCGAGTTGAAAGGGGAGGAGGAACGCACCAGTTCTGCCCTGCTACAAATCACTTCCAAGTCGGTGACTCAAAAATAGTAACAGTTGTTGGGTTGTATCTCATTTCCATGTTATCAATTTAATGTGGCAAAGTACAGAAGCAATTCCTTTAGGTCCCTACCTCCGTCTCAGTCCCCCCCCCAACTCCCCTTTCCCACTACCCTCCCTGGAATCCCGTCCTCCCCTCCTTGATTCGCAGCCCTAGTCGCCCCAGGAGGAGACACTGTGGGTCTCAGTGGGAGCCGAACAGGAAGAGAGGCGGGGCCGGCGGGGGCAGCGGCCGCGGGGGTGAGGCCCTGGGCTGCAGCTCCCACCCCGCAGCAGCCTCCGCAGGTCCTGGCGGAAGCGCAGGCCCAAAAAGGCGTAGAGCACGGGGTTGAGGCCGCAGCGGGCCAGGGCCAGCCCTCCGGTGACCAGCAGCGCCAGGTCCTTGCGCTTGCTGGCAGGGCAGCTCCGCTCGCGTGCAGCTAGCAGGTCCGCCGTATCGAGGAGCAGGGCGAGGCTGTAGGGCAGCTGCAGCACCACGAAGGCCACCACCAGGGCCACAACGACGCGCAGCGCACGCCGGCGCTCCGGCCCCCTGGCGGCCAGCAGCGTGCGGCCCAGGAGCGCGTAGCAGGCGGCCATGACGCCCAGCGGCAGCGCGAAGCCCAGGACCACCTGCGCCACGGCGCTTGCCCCCTTCACCGTCTGCGTGAGACCCTCGGGGAAGACGAGCCGGCAGCGCCGCTGGCCTTCCCGCTGCCCGTCCTGGCTGAAAAGGAGAGCAGGCAACGCCAGGAGCAGCGACAGCAGCCACACGATGGCTGAGACCATGTGCGCGCGGCCCGGAGCAGAGGGCCTCGGTCCTGCGGGGAGAGCCCGCGTGATGGCCACATAGCGGTCGGCGCTGATACAGGCCAGGAAGAGGAAGCCGGCGTGGAAGGAGGCTGAGTAGAGGCCGGAGATGGCGCGGCAGGTGGCACTTCCCAGACTCCAGCCCTGCAGAGCCCCTGCTGCAGCGAAGGGCAGGGTTAGGGCCAGCAAAAGGTCGGCCAGGGCCAGCTGGAGCAGGTGGGCGGAGGTGGGCGATCGGACAGCCCGTCGGGCGGCCAGGTGCGTGGCCAAGACCAGGCCATTGCCAGCCAGACCCAGTGCAGCCACCACCAGGGAGACACTGGGTTGGAAGGCCCTACTGAAGGCCTGGACATCCGCCTTGTAGCAGAGCTCTGGCAACGGTTCCGCAGAGTATGCCTCCTCATCCTCCCCAGAGTAGGGGCCCCAGGAGACCTGGGGAGGTCAGAATGAGAGGGACCTTATGAGACATCTTCCCACACACCTCCCCCTCCCACACATACCTTCCAAGCTGGGGGCTGCTGTGTGACAACAGTACAGAGGGAGAAGATACAAACTGTTCTCTGAACTCTTCCTAACACACCCTCCAACAGGCCTCGGCTTCCACTGCACCCCTCCTGTCTCTGCACCCAGCTTTCTGGATGACCTTGACTTTCTGGAACTCAGTTGCCTAATATACAATGTGGAGATTAGAAATCCTGACCAGCCCAAGTGGCAAAGTTGTCTGAAATAAGGAAGATAATGGATGTGAAGCATTGGTGCTCTCCTTAGGTCAGGGTTTCTATTATCAATAAATCTGGAGGTTCCGGTCTGTTTGCAGCGCCCTCTCCTGGAAGAACACCCACATGCAGGCTTTGTCTCAGAGGGGTCCCTCCCTGGACTCCAGGCATGGTGTGGAGAGGGTTGCAAAGTCTTTTCCTTTCTCCCCTGCCGACCCCACCTCTAACCTCCAGTACAGGTGCACTGAACTGCTCATGACAGGGGGAATCTCAAGGGTTGGGCCTCAGGTTTCCTGGTCCCTTGAACCCCTAGGTTCAGCTCACCCTTCCCCTCAGCCCAGTCCCATCCCCCAACTTCAGCCTCACATCACCAGCCCCATCTATCTGGAAGGTGCCAGGTCCCAGATGGCTCCAGATAACCTGGATAGGTCAAAGCATGGCAGAAGCTTGTTACCAGGTGGAGAATCCCATCCCTTTGCCTTACCCTCCCTCTCTATGACCCTTCCCCCCAGCCCCCACTCCCACCTGCTCTGCGGGTTTCGTCCCCATCTCTGGCTACACAGGTTTCTGAGGTATAGCCACTGGGGAGAGAAGTTAAACTAGTGGGACAGGAAGGAAGGGGCGGGGAGAGGGACCAAGAGGGCGGTGGGGATTAGGGTCTGTGGACTCTCTTTACCAGACTTTCCCATTTCACCCCCTAATTTTTTTTTTCTCTCTTTCTTTACCCTGCCAGTAGAAAAAGAATGGGTTTGGGAATATCATCATTTGCTAGCTACCTGTGTGATCTCGAGTAAGTTTACCTCTTTGAGCCTCAGGTTTTTCATTTGCAAAGTGGAGTAAGGTAAAAATGTCGAATTCACAGGGTTAAGAGGGTGCCTAGGATAGGTGCCTGAAGCATAATTTGCCTTCAGAAAATGTTAGATTCTTTTACTTACTCTTCTCTCAATCTCCAAATAGCCAACCCCCGATTTTCTTGGATTTTTCGGGACGCTCCACTGGCATTATCTTCCTTCCCCCAGCCCTGTGGCCACAGTCCCTGCCAGCCTTGGGTTATTCAGGGTATTTCCCGGCGGCTGGAGGCTCTCTACCCCCGCCCTTTCGCAGCAGGGCTGAGGCGCGCGCTTGCGCGGGGTCTGGGAGAGCTGCGCGTGCCGGGAGAGAGAGGCTGGGGAAGGGGGAGGTGAGAGGAGAGAGGGTGGGAAGGAGAGAGAGAGCAGCGGAGAACCTAGAACGACAGAGAGAGAGAGAAGGGAGAAGGGTTGGGGGAGAGAGAGGATAGAGGGAGGGGTGGGTTAGGAAGAGAGACAGCGATCCGCTGCGAACCCCGGGAGGAGAACTGGGAGCCCGAAGTGGACCTGGAGCCCTAGCCGGAGCCGGGCCCTGGGAGGCGGCCGCCGAGACCCGTCAGCCCTGCACCATGTGTCTTCGGCTCCTCTGCATCCTGCTCGCCGCGGTCTCGGGAGCCCGGGGCTGGGGCTACTGTGAGTGCCGGGCTCAGGTGCAAGCAGGGTGGGACCCGGGAGTCCGAAGCCTGCAGGGCGGGTCCAGCCGCAATGCGGCTAGGTGGTCGCGGGTCCCTTCCCCGGCCGGCGCGCGCTTGCTCGTTTCCATCCTTTTCTGCCTCTCCCCCGCGATCCGCAATGCAGCTCCGAGGCTGGAGCGCGCTCCCGGGCCGGTGCTGGGCAGCGAGGAGCCGAGGATTCAGTCGGCTCCGGGGAGGATTTGGGACTGGGATCCAAGCGGGAGCTGGTGCCTGGGCTTGAGGGTTGGGGATAAGGGTGGTACTGGTGATCCCAGCTGGGGTTAAGGTTTTGCCAGGATGTGGGGCTGGGCTTGGAGCTGGCCCAGGGGCTAGGGTTTGGGGCTGGGGCTGCATTTTGAGGCTGGGATCCAAGCAGGAGTTGGTGACCCTGATTGCTGTGAAGGTTGGACATGGTGATGCTGGTATGACTGGCTGGGTTTGGGACCAAGGCCTGGATTTGGGGTTGGTGAGGGTTGGGGGTGCTGATGAGTGGGATCCATGATAAGGCTGGGGCTGGATTGGTGCCTTGGGCTGACTCGGGTTTTGAAAGATGCTAAGGTTGTGTTTGGGGGAGTACTAAGCCTGGGCTGGTAGGAGGGCAGTCACAGACCTGGGGAAGATCCGGCTTAGGGGTCCCCCCAGAAGAAGAAGGCAGCCCCCCTGAGTGTGCAGCTGTTGCTGTAGCCCAGGTTGAGTAGATGGCTTAAGTTAGTGCTGGGGTGCCTGCTGGGGAACAGAGAAGGAGGAGCTCCAGTTGTTCAGTGTGCCTGGTGTTTGGAAGGACCTGGGAGGGGCCCTGCGACCAAAATGTCTGTTTCCCCAACCCAGACGGCTGTGACGAGGAGCTGGTCGGGCCTCTGTATGCACGCTCCCTGGGCGCTTCCTCCTACTATGGGCTCTTCACTGCGCCGAGATTTGCCCGGCTGCACGGTGAGCCAGGCGCCGCCCCAAGGTGTGGTGGGGGCCCTGGAGGGCCAGGCATAACAGGAGAGCCAGGGGTAAAAGCCCTTGCCTCTTCTATAGGCATAAGCGGATGGTCTCCCCGAACCGGGGACCCGAATCCTTGGCTCCAGATTGACTTAATGAAGAAGCACCGGATCCGAGCTGTGGCCACCCAGGGCTCATTTAACTCGTGGGACTGGGTCACACGCTACATGCTGCTCTATGGGGACCGAGTGGACAGCTGGACACCATTCTACCAGCAAGGGCACAATGCGGTATTCCAGGCCCCCTGTGCACGCACTTGGAGAACCCCCTCAGTTCTGCAACCTGCTCTGGGCACTGGCTTGGGGGGATGAAGGAGGAGGAGATGGGGACACGTGTGAGGAACAGCGGCTTCCCATGTGGGGATTCAGTCCAGAGGGACGGTCCACTCACCGTGGGTGCAAGACTTTCTCAGATGACAGGGTTTCACATACTTTAGGGTCAAATCTGGGAGAGCTTCTTGAATGAGGTGACATCCGAGTTGAGCTCGGAGGAGACAATAGGATGGCGGGAGAGGACACGCTACGCTAGGTCATCTGTTTTTCTAAAGCCACGAGGGTCCAGGAGATCAAGAAGAGTCTACTTTCTGGAAGCTGATATTGGCTGGGTGTGACAACTGCGGGCTGGGCTGGGAGGCTGTGGAGAAATAAAGCAGAAGGTGGGGACCTGATCTCCCCTCTGCCCTTCCCCCTCAGACCTTCTTCGGGAACGTGAACGAGTCGGCGATAGTGCGCCACGACCTGCACTACCACTTCACCGCGCGCTACATCCGCATCGTGCCCCTGGCTTGGAACCCGCGTGGCAAGATCGGCCTGAGGCTCGGCCTCTACGGCTGCCCTTACAGTAAGACTGCGGGAGTCGTGGGGGTGGGGGCGGAGGGCTCGGGAATCAGTCTTCTGGGTCCTCGGCCCACCTGCTGGCCTTCGCGCAGAGTCCGACGTGCTCTATTTCGACGGCGATGATGCCATCTCGTACCGCTTCCCGCGAGGGGTCAGCCGGAGTCTGTGGGATGTGTTCGCCTTCAGCTTCAAGACGGAAGAGAAGGACGGGCTCCTGCTGCATGCGGAGGGGGTCCAGGGCGACTACGTGACACTGGAGCTGCAGGGGGCGCACTTGCTGCTGCACATGAGCCTGGGTGAGCTCCACCGTCGCGGGTACGACCCCAGCGGCTTGGCTGCCACGCCCCTCGCGGCCCCGCCTCCGCGAAGCCGCACCCACTCCGGATCTTGCCATTCCTTACTGTTTGGACCGGCTCGCCTTTTCTGTGCCGGGTTTGGCGCTAACAAAACACTGGACTCCGAGTCAGAAGATCTGGATGCCAGTCTCAGCTCCACCTACCAGTGGTGTGACCTTGGACAAGGAACCTCTCCAGTCTGTTTCCTCATTGTGGAAACCTTATATACATTACGTGTACATACACATACAAGCCCAAAGAGTTGTTATTTTGTATCTCATTAGCTTTTCATAACAACCATAGGATGAAGTAGAAGCAGCTATTGTAAAACAGGGGCCCAGAGGGGTTAAACGACGTACCCTAAGTCACATTCTCCCCAGTGGGCACCACTCCATCCCAAGCTGAAGATATCCAATCTCTGTATACCTCCTCCCCCCCCAGGCTGCCCTGGGCCCTGTGCCAACCCTTCTCTGTGCTCCTGGATGCTGCTGCACCTGGGGGCTAGGCCTCTCTGGGGCTCTCCAGGTTGTAGGTCTGACCCTGCTCCTCCGTTCCCCCAGGCAGCAGCCCCATCCAGCCCAGGCCCGGTCACACCACTGTGAGCGCTGGTGGTGTCCTCAACGACCAGCACTGGCATTACGTGCGGGTGGACCGATTTGGCCGGGACGCAAACCTCACCCTGGACGGCTATGTACAGCGCTTCGTGCTCAACGGTGACTTTGAGAGGCTGAACTTGGACAATGAGGTGAGCAGAGTAGTTCATTTAGTCGAGTTGGGGTGCTGGGGGGGTCCGTGGGAGGACAGTGCTCTCCAGTTCCTGAATCTCCTAGCAGCTCTTGGCAAACTTGTGGTTCACGGGTCTGGGATGTTGTGGTTGTTGGTGTTGTTAGAAGGCAGATTTCCTGGGCACACACACCCCCACCAAAGAACAACTGACATGGGATCTGGAAATCTGGGTTTTGGGGATCAGATGAGATGAGAAAATTGCCCCATTGAATTGCCCAACTCTGTGGCCCTGATCTGCAGGTAAAGAATCCCAGACATGTTAATTGACCTACCCAAGGGCATGCACCCAATCTGTGGTGGAGTCAGGGCCAGCACCCAAGCCTGGGGAGGCCCAGCAAGCTTCCAGCTTGAATAGCGATGCTGGGGAAATGTGTATTTCAAGTCTTATATAAACCCAGGCTGGGAGCCTGGGAAAGCCTGGGGAGGAGGAGAGAGAGAGGGGCATGAGCTTGTACTGGCATCCAGGGAACCTAACCCCCTTGCCCCGCCCGCAGATGTACATTGGGGGTCTGGTGGGCGCTGCACAGAAGAACCTCGCTTATCGGCATAATTTCCGAGGCTGCATAGAAAACATAATCTTCAACCGAGTCAACATCGCAGACCTGGCTGTGCGGCGCCATTCGAGGATCACCTTCGAGGCCAGTGGGCAGGGCGTTCAGGGAGGGCGGGACATCAAGCTGCTCCGAAAGCAAAGAGAATCAGATAAAAGCTGAGGATTCCTCTCTCCCCAGCCAAATGCTCAAGTGGGTGGAGGGCGCCATCACAGACTCACAGGAGGTGCAAAGGCCACCCCTCCCTAACCCCCAGCTGAGAAGCTGTGGTCTGGTCTAACCACATCCTCAATTAATGTTTGAGGAAAATAAGATGCAGAGACCGGGAGTGGCTTGGCCAGGGATCACCGAGTTGTACAGTGGTTGAGTCCGATCTTGAACCCAGGTCTGTTTTGGTGTGGTCCCCGTCCCCCACCCCACCCCACCCCACCCCAGCTCAGCAGCGAATGTTCTAGTGCCTGCCAGGAAGCCAGCCGGAAGTTTGCTCTCCAGGCTGGGAGGAAGGGAAGGAGGGAGCGGCGGCCCATGGAGAT